TACATTTATTTTTTCTTTTTCCAACGTTTTTTTTTTTTTTTTTTTTTTTTCTTATTTATTTTTGGGACAGAGAGAGACAGAGCATGAATGGGGTAGGGGCAGAGAGAGAGGGAGACACAGAATCGGAAACAGGCTCCAGGCTCCGAGCCATCAGCCCAGAGCCCAACGCGGGGCTCGAACTCACAGACCGCGAGATCGTGACCTGGCTGAAGTCGGACGCTTAACCGACTGCGCCACCCAGGCGCCCCTCTAATTTTATATTTAAAGCCACATTACAGTCCAGTAAAGAGATTAAAAAAAAAAAAAAGACATTAAACCTGAGAAACAGGCTGTCAGCACAGAGCCTGATGCGGGGCTTGAACTCCCAAACTGTGAGATCATGACCTGAGCTGAAGTCGGATGCTCAACTGACTGAGCCACTTAGGCACCTCATCTTCCTCCCGTTTGATGCTTGAGACCCCTACCCCTTTCTCCTTAGCTCAAGATGGCATATAAGCTTCCACTGCCTGTCTTTGGGTTTCATGTCTTTGGGGATTTCATACATATGAAATTCGTTTTTCTCCTGTTAATCTGTCTTATGTCACTTTAGTGACTAGAAAGAAACTAGAAGGTAAGGGAAAAGTTTTTGGTCCTTACAGTCCCTCGCTCTTAGTCATGACCTAAGTGGTAAGTTAATGTACAAATTTAAAGATAATTGTAATTCATAAATAAGAAACATAAATGGATATGTTTAATCTGTAATTATTGTAGGAGGATAAATATCTGGGTATTATTTCTTCGATTAAGTATAGATAATGGCTATCAAATATAAGTATGCACATTTTCTCTATATAGAGAAGGGTGGATTTAGTAAACTGTGACTAGGCCAAAGGAATGTGAAAAAGTATACCAAGAATAGGAAGAATGAGCAACAATGATGATCACATGCAAAAGAACAAAACAGAGAGATGGTCCAATGGTGCCTCACAATAATAATGGATTAAATGTTCTAAGAAAACAGCTACCATGTAAATGCGATAGAGAAGTTGTGAACTATTCATAGACCAGGTTGGGGCACCTGGGTGGCTCTCAGTTGAGCATCCGACTCTTCGTTTCAACTCAGGTCATGATCTCACGGTTCATGGGTTCAAGCCCTGAACTGGGCTCTGCAATACCAGTGTAGAGCCTGCTTGGGATTCTCTTTCTCCCTCTCTCCATCCCTCCCCCTCTTTCACTTGTTCTCTCTCAAAATAAATAAAAGTTAAAAAAAAAATAGACCAGGTCAATACATGACAAAGACAATAGAATGACAAAAACACTTATCAAGCAAAGCCTGTATCATTTAAGGAGAGAAACAAGAAACCTGAAGTCCCAAGGCTATAGCAGGTGAATATGGACTATAAAAAGGGGCCCAGGCAGGTCTGGCAGGAAGCTGCTTTCTCTGCATCTCTCAGGTACTCCCAGGAGTGAGGTAGAGGAGGGTGAGGGGGGAGGGGAAGTGAGGGGAGTCTGAGAGAGAGGGTGGGCTTGCACCTGTAAATGGAGCCCTACCACTCCTAGAGTCAGTGGGGGCAGAACCCTGAGGTCACTGACAAAGACCACATGGCAGAGCAGAAAGAACACCCCCTGTGGCAGGGGGCCAGTCTTTGAGATCCACAGATGTCTGAGGTTCCAAAGCACCTGAATGCTGCCCCAGTCTACCTCAAATTTGAATTCCTAAGAGTGTATAGGATTGTGACCAAGCTGAAAGATATGTAAGTTTATAAACAAACTTTCCACATTTCTGCCTGGGAAGGTCTTCAAGGCCTTACCCTTGCAAACTGTAGCCCATTGCTGAGGCCCTGAGGTAAAGCCAGGCCTCTCTCTCCTAGGGTCTTGTGACATGACCTAGAGCCAGAGGAGCTTTCCTGGAACCTCCAATTTACTCACCCTGTGCCTTTGGGCTAGTGGCTGACCCTGGCTACTTCCTACAGGGCTGCCTGGGTGGGCCCTAAGGACCTACTGCAAGAGATATTTTTAAACCCAGCCAGAAGCTTCCTCAATTCTGTAGGCTGAATCTGGAGTACCATGTTACCACTAAGAGAAATGGGGAAAAACAATAATTTTTCCTGATTACATTATTATGAAACTTAAGGACTTTTGATGTTGTATAGTATATACAGGGATTCATACATGGTCAAATGGTCACATTGTACACCTGGCTTTTATTAACACCACTATTTGCATTAACTAGGGCTGACTGGTTAGTAAATGAAGACAATCACTGTAACTAAGTTAATAATCCAGTGTTTAGCTATTTGCCTAGGGCCTCAGGGGTAAAAGAAAATTGAATCATCCCTAATGCCATAAGGAGTTTATAGTGTAATGTGAAAATGTATCAACATGAAAAGTGATAAAGAGGCAGGACAACCCATTATTTGATGTTCTCACCCTGCTCTTTCCACATCTGTAAAATGGGTACAATCATATCTATTTTCATAGGATTATTATGAAGATCCAGTCAAATAATGTATATAAAGCACTAAACAGAACCTGACCTACACCAAATGCTCCATAAATGGTATTCTTGGGATCTGATCCAGAGGTAATTGGTCAGTGAACCCAGGATATGCATACTCAGGCTAAGATGGAATCCTTTTCCTTTTATTTATGACAATACTGAGAAAGTAAAGTAACTAATAAAATGATTTACTCCAGGAAACCTATCCTATTTGGAATTACAGGAATAATGAACACTTATAGATGCTTTTGTTCTAGTCATAATAAATTCTGTACTAATGTGTTTTGCTTTTTAAGCTATTAAAAAAGACATGACAAAGAAAAATAGGCTTCTTTTTCACTAAAAGCCAAGAATGGAATAAGTTTGTCATCAATGTTTCAACACTTAAGAACTGATTTATAAATCTTGTTTAATATCAATGAAACATTTTATTTTTTAAATTAGCATCAATGAAAGAATAAACAGTAATGTTCTTCCCAATCTACAAAAGTGCCCTGGAACATTAAAGATTCTAGCCACACTCACCTAATACAAAACACTATGGAAAGTTAGAATCAGCCATTTGTAATTCTTACTTTTCCCATCTTGGAACAAGCAAACCAAGATTGCTTTCCTTGACAATACTAATGTATATCTATGTATGTATCTATAAATGTTTTTTTTAAGTTTTTTGTTTTTTGTTTTTTTTTAATTATAACACGTTTGAACCTTTAAACAAGCATCTACGCAGGAGAAAGGTGGGTAGAGCACTGACACTAGTTTCCCCTTAGTCACAGGAGCAAAGGCAGAGTTAGACTGTGCCTCTGAGGGTAAGTCTCCTGACTCAGACCACCCTCCTCTGCACTAAGGTCCTGATCACAAAGATCACACTGTTTTGGTAACAGGTTCCTGGACAGTCTCCGAACCTATTTCCAGTGACTGCATGGCTTCATCCAGGCTGGTCATCACTGCAGTGGAGAGGGAAGCACTGGAATGAACATCCTCTCTTTTAACAGACTTCTTAAGGCTGAGCATCATTATGCCTGTAAGAAAAGCATTGAATTGAGCAAGTATACTGTCCAGGAGAACACAAAGGAAACAGGGAAAGTGACTCCACAGAAAACACTGCTGAGTCTACCTTATTGGTCACCTTAGAGCAGGCCACCTATGTTAGAATCACCCAGAACACCCAACAAAATAATGACAGCTCATATTTATCAAGTATTTTCTATGTATTCTAAGTGCTTTGTTGTATTCATTCATTTAATCCTTGGGAAAAACCTCTATGTAGGTTACAACAACTAGACCCATTTTATAGGTAAGGAGACTGAGGAACAAAGAGGTTTTGGTTTGCCAATATGCCGAACTCCTAAGTGGGGTCTCCTAGGTGGGGTTGGGGAAAGTGGTGGTGAACAACCCGCATTTCTTTTTTTTTTTTTTTTTAATGTTTATTTATTTTTGAGACAGAGACAGAGCATGAACAGGGGAGGGGCAGAAAGAGAGGGAGTCACAATCTGAAATAGGCTCCAGGCTCTGAGCTGTCAGCACAGAGCCCGACACGGGGCACGAACTCACGGACCATGAGATCATGACCTGAGCCGAAGTCGGACGCTTAACCGACCAAGCCACCCAGGCGCCCCATTAACCCGCATTTCTACAGTGCTCTTGGGTTCATTTGAAGTCTGAGAATCCCTGAGTACAGGACTTCCCAGGCTCCAGTTTTATCTCAGAAAGTGGGGTCCAGATGGATTCCTTCCCAACTTCTGAAAAGACAGGTGGGAAGGGACTAGGGTTCCTTATGGATTCTTCCTTCCGTGGGTTTGCCAGCTGTCTCCCACAGTGCCGTATTCTAGGGTTTCTGTGATTCCCCTAGAAACCTAGGAATCCTAGCGTCCCAGGATGTGAAAGGAGTCCCAGGCTTGTGGGAGGGGAGTGGCAGAAGTCAAAGTTCCCGTGGCACAGCCTAGGTCCGCGGCACCCCGTGCCTTGGCACAGCATGCTCCTCACCTCCATACAGTTTCCTTTCTGGCTTCGCGGCCAAAATGCGAATCAGGCTTTTGGCACGCTTCCGGTATCGGCGCTTCCCCAAGATAAAGATTTCAACTTTGCCCTCGGAGTCGGGCTCTCCCATCCGGAGCAGGACTTTGAACTCCTGTTCGAACCTTGGGAGGAGGGTTCTACTTGGACCTGTGGAGAATGCAGGGTTCCCAAGGGATTAGCGTGG